TTTCTAACGCAGGATAAAACAATAAAATCAGCTAATTGCGACAGGTTTTTTTCTTCTTCTCAAATTCAGAGTTTATAACTCACAATTTGGTCTTTTTCCCCCTCCAATTATGAGATATATGAGAATATGTATGAGATATAGATGATTGAGAGAAATTGATTACGTGGTGGAAAACAAAAACAAAAAAAACTGAATTGTGACAAACTTGGAATTGCAAGAAAAAAAATCTCACAGAATTCTCAGTTTTTCATTATTATCAGAATTCCATTCCTAAAAAAAAAATATATATATATATATATATATATATATATATACACATATACACACACACACACATATAGAGTAATTGCAACTTTTTATCTTGCAATTTTGACTTTTTTCCTCAAAATTGTGAGAAACTCTGAATTGCAAGAAAAAAGTCAGAATTGTGCGATTTGTTCATCTTTCATTATAGTAACTGACACTTGTGATCTAATGCAGTGACATTTTAAGACAGAGTACATGAGAAGCTGTTGTAAGTGTGTGATTGAAGCATAATTCATCCTCAAACCTCTGAGCGGCGGGCGGTTTAAAGCTTAAAGGGTGACGCTTTATGACTCTTTGTGTCTGAGTTACTGTAATCTGTCAAAAGACTAAAGCCGGGCAACTAACCTAGATACAGGAATCACTGGGGAACTGGTCAAAGAACACAGATAAAGGACTAACTGAGGTTTAACACTGAACAAAGCTTGATCTGAAGCAGCATAAATGACGACGGCTAAGTGTGTGGATGCCAGATTTAGACTTTTTAAATGTCAGGAGTCCAGAAAGATGAAAGTAAAGAATCTTGTGAAGCACAAAAAGGTCAAATAAAGAGAACACTGCTAGATTAACATGTGATTGTTAAATGCTTTTGATTACTCATGAATGCATGACCGCGCTGCTGGTTAGAGTTGTTCGCGGTGTGGGCGAGGTCAAAGGTCAGAGGTCACCGGCGCTCACCTTGAACTCTCCGCCCTGTTGAAAGGGGAAGCAGGGTTCGCACTGTTCGGCGCCCCAGCCGCCCTGGTTGGAGTTGCACACGATGACGTTGCTGTCACCCATCGAGTTAAAGCGAGGGTTGAAGTGAAGGGCGACTGTGTCTGCGTCGTGACCGATGTTGATGGAGAACCTGAGGACAGAGAGATGGACGGTTGGAGACACGCATGCTCATTTTCTTTGCATAAAATAATATATAAGCCTGTTCCAAAAGTGGTTTCTTGTCACTGTTGCCTTTGGTTTG